CATTGTGCCATCACAAATTATCACGATGTCCCCAACTTTTAGATTTTTGTGTTGAGAGTTGGAGCTGGACCGGGGCATTAAAAGAGGTCTGTATTTCGCTGACCAGCGTGCCCAAAACTTGTCAGCTAGGGCTTGAGTGGCTCTCCAGGAGCGTGGGCTCAACTGTGTGTCTTTAAATGAACCAAACGGTGACATCCCGCTAGAGCGCCCAATAAGAAAGTGATTGGGTGTCAGCGCTTCTTCATCCAAGTTGGGGTTCACCGGAGTCATTGGCCTCGAATTAATCACATGCTCGGCTTCCAGCAGTAACGCGTGCAGCACTTCGTCAGGGGGCGACCTTTCCTTTAGTGTGATTTTTAATGCTGTTTTTACTGATCTGATCAATCGTTCCCAGGCACCGACCATGTTTGGGGCTCCAGGTGGTATCTTTTTCCAGGTGATCAGCTTTTCAGATGCGAAAGTGTTAAGGCTATGGTCGTTGTTATGCATAGCTTCGGCGATTTCTCTTTCAGCACCCACGAAGTTGGTTCCGTTGTCACTGTATATCACGGTCGGTGTGCCCCGGCGAGCCATCATTTATCGTAGGCTCATGATCATGAAAGAGGCCGTGAGGGCTGTGGCCACTTCTAAGTGCACAGCGCGTGTAGTGAGGCATGTGTATAATGCACCCCACCTTTTTTCTATCCTTCGTCTGACTGTGACCTGCATGGGCCCGAAGTAGTCTACCGCGGTTGCAGTGAAGGGCGTTTGATTCTGGGCCAGCCTTTCTACTGGTAAAACGCCTAGAGGGATTTTTGATGGGATCCCCCTATAGGTCCGACACCATTGGCATTGGTTGCATATATTGCGTATAACGCTTCGTAGTCCTATTTTGTGGTATCGCTGTCTCAATTCGTTCATGACGGTCTGGTGGTTGCCATGATTGAAGGTTGCGTGCGTGTGATGCACCAACAGCCGAGTGAAGCCTTCTTTGGCGTGTAGGACTGGCAGATTGTGTTCGTTTTTTATTCTGCTATCTAAACACATAATGCCGTTGCGGTTGACCTTCACGGATAGTTTGTAGAATGGTGACTTCTTGGGTGGTCGCCGCCCAGCCTCTATGGTCGCGATGTCTTCGGCGAATGAGTTATATTGACTCCTTCTTATGAGCAAGAACTCCACTAATTTTATATGGCTCGGTGCGAGTTCAACATTTGTGTCTCTTTTGAGTAGCTTGGCTTTAAATATCTCAGCGGCGAGCAAAAAGGTGGCAGCGACTCGAACTAATCGGCTGTATTTTGAAAATCGTTCTAACTCGTGTAAGTAATCGCTAACGTTACGCTTAATGATTACGTGAACTTGTTTTAATATTCTTTCTTCCCCTGAAGGGGGTAACAATGTTTCATTTCGTTTGTCCTGCGGCCACGTCGCGGGGTCGTTCCTTATAAACGCGGGTCCGGTAAACCACCTGTGTTTCGAATTAAAGTCGGCAGGTACGCCCTTGGTTGCGTCGTCCGAGACATTATTTGAGCTGGGTACCCATTGCCAATTGGTTGAAGAGGTTAGGATTTCGATTTCAGCCAATCGGTGTGCGACAAACGACTTGAACGTGCGCGGGTCGGATTTAATCCAAGCTAATACAGTTTTAGAGTCTGACCAATAATGACATTTTAATATTATATAATCCGACTCGTGTCTGACCGATTTAGCTAATTGACTGCCTAACACTGCGGCTTGAAGTTCTAACCGGGGAATCGATATTGGTTTTAACGGAGCTATTTTGGCCTTGCCTGTTATCAATCGCGACGTCTTAGTGCCGTCCGTTTTTGCATTTACGAAATATACAGCAACGGAATACACCTTTTCACTCACGTCACAGAAAATATGTAACTCCCCTTCTCCAGATGGCGTGGCAGGTATGTATTTCTAACTTTTTTAACAGCTGTAAGTTATTTATAAACGATAACCATATCACGTGTGCTCGGTTGTGATGGGGTCGTCCCAATCTATCCCACTATGCCATATTTCCTGTATAAGACATTTGCCTATCATCGTGATAGGCGAAACTAAACCTCCCCCCCGAACGGGTTCCCGCCTTGTCGTGGCGGGGGGGCTTAGTAGCCGTGGCTTGGTCACCCACGGTGAACAAAGAGGAACCCCTTGGCTGGCCCGTGGTGTAGGGCCGGCCCGAGGTGGCCACTCCGAGTGGGCTTGGGAAGCCCACTTCGGATGTGTGTCGGGGGGCTGCGGTGAGAGGGGAGTCCGCACCCTCTACCGCTGCAGCCGAGGTGGAGTCGCGGAGGAAGAGGAGTGTTGGTATGGCGATGCGCCACTCGCCCTATCCTCCGCGACTCAAACGGGGCCGCACCGTTGATGCGGTGGTGGTGGGGCCGCGGGGGGAGAGGAGTGTCGGTATTGCGAGGCGCCGCTCTCCCTACCCTCCGCGGCCGAAACTTGGTTGGCGGCGGAGCCATAGACCAGATCCGCCGCTGGGGTCAGGAAGGCTGGTGCTTCTGAGTGCTAGTTTTTCCTGGCCCCATGGCCTTCGCGCATCGGACACGGGGGCGTCCGTTGCGCATGTGAAATTGGAGGCCGAGGAGGAGGGCGCGCCATGTGTTCTGGTGCGCCTTACCTGAGAGAGAGATGGGGGAGGAGTGGTCCTCTCCCGAGGAGGGGCCGACATGGGGCGGCCAGCGCAGGTGGGGCCGCGGAAGTGTGCGAAAGCGTTCCCGTGGCCCTGCCAATATGCGACGAGAGTGGAACACCATGGGGTTTTAGTCGGTGCGAGTCCGACATAACCCGTCCTTGCCCCCGCAAGGCGGGTATGCGTAGGCATTTCCCCATGTTAAAAAAAAAAAAAAAAAAAAAAAAAAAAAAAGGCGAAACTAAACCTAGCGGGTCAAATACCAACATTACTGCGCTGTTTACCTGACGCTTGGTAGGTATTGTGTCACCTCTAATTACACTAGTGGGTGTGTTTCTAAGATTGACATTGAAGCTTAACGTGTCGCGTTTGTGATTCCAAATAAGACCTAATGTCCTCTCTGAATCACTTTTTCCTAGCGTGGTTGTGCCGCTTCTACGCGTATCAGTGACATCGCTGATTACTTCAGGTACGTTTGATGCCCACCCGCGTAAATCGAAGGATGCGTTTCTATGTACTTTGCACATATCATTTACTATTGACTTTGCCTCGCTTTCGGAGTTGAACGCGCCTAAGTAGTCGTCCATTTAAAAGTTACGTACTGTAGCCTTCGCGACCTCGGGATGTTGATGACTGTGATTTTCTGCGTTATTATTTTTTACATAGATGGCCGTGATGATGCCGCCCCGAATATTAACGACGTCATCCGATACTCTTGCGGCGGGCCCTCTCTATTCTCGCCCCTCCATAAAAACCGTAAGCTATCACAGTCCTCTTGTATAATTTTTACTTGTAAAAACATTTCTTTTATGTCGGCTACGACAGCAATACGAACCTCTCTAAATCTAATTAATACGCCGAATAACGACTGTAGTAAGTCAGGGCCTGTTAATAACGCGTCGTTTAGGCTTTTTCCCCCGCATTTGGCTGCTGCGTCGAACACTAACCTTCTGAGGGTGTACGACTGCGAAATGCGGCAAGTACCAGCTGCGTGGCGAAGTGGCTTGGGCGTCTACTTTTTCAGCATAGTCTGCTTCTATAAGGTTGTTTACCTGCTTACTATATTCGGTTTTTAGGGTTTTATTTTTATCTAATTTATTTTCTTAGCTATATAGACGACTGAGGGCTTGTTTTTTATTGTTTGGCATCTCCTCAGTGTCTGTTCGCCAGAGTAAGCCCGCTTCGTACCTATTGCTATTGTCCGTTTTTTTACAAGTCGTATCTAGAATAGCTAGGGCTCGCTGGTCCGGGTCAGATGTCGGTCGGCGTGCCTCTATACCTAGAGATTCTATGCTTAAGAAATTTCTTATGAGCTCTAATGCGATGTCGTCGGTTTGTGTTGGCCGTATTTGATTGATTGTCGCGACAGTATTACAGGACCGTCCGTTGCGACCATGCAACACCCACTCTAATTTAGTTAAAGATGCTACTGGCTGGTTTTTATTACCAACGCGCAATTGCCTGGACGTAATTAAGTGCCAGTTGTCTTGGCCTATCAATATGGTCGGTTGCCCCTGTTCGTAACATAGTTCGTCCTCTATCTCCTTTAGGTCGTTGCACTGTTGCACTAACTCTCTACTCACCTTTTGTGGCGATAAATTTAAGTTCTCTATTGTGCTCGAATTTCTAGTTTCTAAGTTTCTGTTATATAAACCGCGAATGGATAATTTCACGTGACATGATTTTGTGTCGTTTATTTGATTACCCCCTACCCCTTCTAACGTCAAGAGCCGTCGGCGCCCCCTAGGAACAATCGAATCTGCCATGCCCCTTTCGATCAACGTCATAGTTTATCCTTCAACTAACAAGGCGTATGTGCTAGTTGTTCCTATTGGATCGTTTATCTCGACCGGCACTATCTTTAAGTAGGTGTTAGACACATGTACGTGATTTATTGAGCTTACGTTGCCGTGGTTGATTGTCGGTTTGTTATCGCTACCGTGTAACATTTTATGGTGTGATGCTTTACACCCGTTTACCCCGCATGGTACGTATTTGCATTTGACCGGTCGCCTGTGTGATTTGCCAAGGCATCGAAAAAACACAGCCTGTTGCGCTTGGCCGCGTCCCATCTTTCGCTCACGGCTAATTTAGCAAAGTCTGCATATTTAATGACGTTGTGGTTAACGGAACACATTGTGCATGCGTTATTTGATTCAACCGATAACTCGACTTTCGGTTGTGATGGATGTAGTTTCGATATCTGCCTTTTTTTTACGGTTTATTTATGGCAGTTATCGTTTTACGCGGCGAGTTGTCAATGTTTTCCGATCGGTCGCACGAGCTGTCGCTGCTCTTGTCGCGGTGCCGTGTGTGGCGCCGGTTTTGATCGTGGACCGTGTTCACCACGCTTGTCTTCATTTTATTAACCTTGCGGTCATCCCATGTTATTTAAAAATCTAGATAGCAGTTCTAACTCCAGCGCTTCGGTGCGCTTCGATTTAAATTCGTACCATTTATATTTGAAAATAATACTTAGCTTTTCTACAACCCTACTTACTATCTCAGGGGAGTAGAGATATTGCGGCTGATTGAGTGATTTTATTGCTGCTACTGTGTTAGATATTTTGCTCGCGAAACTATCTATATTGTGCCCGTCTTCAGTCATGCAAGGCATGCGTTTCATATTTTCTAATTCGGAAAGTGTTAATAATTCCGGCTTTCCGAAACGCCCTTCTAACGTATCTATGACTTCATATGGATCTGACACTGTAAATAGTAATGCTCTAACCGTTTCGCGAGCCACGCCTCTTAACGCTTTGCGTAACCTGGCTACGTTTTGTACATCAATAAACATGCTTACTGTGTCGTTGAAGACGGATTTGAAAGCCATCCACTCTGAAATCGCTCAGTTGAAATGAGGTAGCTCGTGGATGTATTTCGGTGCCGTAGAGTCCGATTTGCCTGAATTTACCGCTTGAACAATCGCGTTGGCCAGCATCGCCATGTCGCTACTATTGTTGTTAGTACTTTGCCAATGCGCGATTCGTGTTTGTTCGTGTTAGGTGGCCGTGTGTTTGGCCCCGAGGGTCGTGCTTTACCTAATATTGCCGGTCTATCGTTTACATACTGCTCCGAAATCCAACCTTCAACACGCGACTCTTCTATTCTGGACGGCGGTTCAGCGTCGTTGGAGTTTTCTAGCTCTATTCTGGCTATTTCCAAAGGACTTAAGGCAGCTGCGGCTGCCATCCTAGCCTGTGCTAATGTGGAATTATGTAACTCTAATTCGGCTTTTAAAATAGATAATCGATTATTCATCCTGCCCTCGGGGACATTTACTACTGTGCCCGGCGTACTCCTATTGTTTAGGCCAACATTAAATATATTGAGAAGTGCGTTATAATCGCTTGTTAATAGCTTCGCACGTTAGCGAGGTCACTTTTCCCCTCCCGCGCCGACATTCCTTTCCAGCCAACGGACGAGATACCCCTCGAGTCATTGTAAAACGCTTTCGGTAGAAACGGACGTTTTCGGGTTTTATCACTTAATTTTTGGTCACGAACGGAGTTAAAACCTACTACCGCTGTCGTGAGCGGGAACACGTGTTGTTCTTTACGGAATTATAAATTTGGTTAAAGCAATTGTGCAATTTATATATAGAGATTTCGTTGAGGTTCCTTTTTTGACTGTGCCGTTACGGGAATAGACTAAACTAGTGCCTCAAGAAGGGAATTGTTCCGGGGCTACAAGAGACTATCTTCTCCAAGGACAGCGTCGTGTCATATCGCCCAGGCCACTTACACACAGTCTCACACAAATACCACCTACACTCACTACACTTACCACAGCCGGGCAGATCTGGGTGAACAGTCTCCGCTCTCGAATCAGGTAAGTGCCTTCCTGTTACCTAGTCTCCCCCCTTGATTGGGATAGGATATTTCCCAGTGGCCTTTAGAGGCCCGACCTGCGTGTACCCGTAGGATTCCTACTTGGGCCCGGGATAGCCTACCTTTGAAGGGGTAGCCGTAGGCCGTATCCTGCGTATTTAAATCATCGACTTGAACGGACCTATTTTCGATTACTGCTCCCGTCATGTTACTGTTACTATGCATGCCACTGTCACTGTTTGTATGCTCTGTGCTCGTGCCCGTACTCCACGTACTTGTTTCTGTTGAACTCGTCTGCCCCGACGCCGGCGTGGCGTCTGTGGTAGGCGTGGATTTGCCTGAACGTAATACACGTGTGTTTTCCATGGCGCGCGAGTGTTCCTAATCCTACTAATTACTTAAATTTAACACTTTCACTTTATCACTTTCACTAAGAGTTTCTGCCCTACCTACCTAATTGGTCTGGCCGGACTTCTACCGCGGTGATGCCGGACCAGGGATTTAAACTAATGAGGAAAGGAAGGTGGATACCTCCCGGTATAGGGCGCGGGCGCTCACGGGTGCATCAAAGTGCGGTTTGCGTGCCAACCTATGGCCCCAGAACGTAACCGCACCTTGCCGGCGGGGTCTATGTTACCTAAAAGTACGTTCTTGATGGCAGTTAACACCGCAAGGCTGCCACGTACTTGTGATGTTTGCTTCCAAGCAATTAGCATAACCACTGCTAATATATGTATGACCAACAGCTAACACTCGCGCGTTATTGTTTCTTTCTTGCTTTCCGACGTGGAGGGATGAAAACTTCTTGCTTTCTTGACGCGGAGATATGTTAACTTCTTGCTTCAGGCTTGTTGAAGGGATCCGCAACTCGAAGGACCATTAAACGAAATGGGATCCGATACTCGTTTGACCATTAAACGAAGTGGGATTTTTATGCAGGGCTCCGTATCGTTCAAACGCAGACTTCTTCTTCACCATAAGATAATGAAGTTAAATGAAACTATTGTTTATATGAAAATAAGAGCGGCTTTGTAGAGAGTAGCTTGTTGAGGCAGTGTAGAGATGTCTGTGGGGCTGGATGAAGAGCGAACGATGAGCGAGTGACGAGTAATGAGCTGGTAATGTTTTGGGTCGCTCACAGCATGTCTTTTATTTCATTCGGTCAGTTGCACAACTCGTGTAAGCGCCTGTGAGGCGCACATGCTCCATTTGACCAATGAACGGACACGAGGGAAGTGTGTGGGGGTGTGTGAAGTATGACTCATAATTTATTTCACAATTATACATTTTCATACAACAAATCTTTGCAAACAATTATTAATAAGTATGTAACAAACTATAAGACACACAGCAAATCTTTATAAACAACTACTAATAAGTATGTGACACAATATAAAACATACAGCAAATCTTTATAAACAACTACTTATAAGTATGTAACAAACATTATAAAACACACAATACTTTGCATAGGCATACAAACATTAATTATGTATTTGACAAATACTATAAAGACATATAACAAATCTTTATTTGGCAATAACTACTACAAATACGTAGGTGACAATCACTATAAAGATATACAACAACTCTTTATAGGCATACAAAAAACATTAATAAGCTTACGTACAATTGTTAGCTTACGTGACTTAAACTTAAATAACTACATAGATCGTCTTAAAGGACATTCAACATTAATAACGTCTTAAATCTAGGCTGTTATTTACTACACGTAACCATTATTATCATTGTTCGGTGACCTACATTGTAATAATAAGTTAGCTTTAGTATTAGATATTAGAATCTATTGTAGCTTCGCCATTGTACGAAACGACTGATATGATTAGACGTTGCTAAGGCTATAATAACTTTTATTGTGAGTGGGACTTATAGACTACATCATTAATTTTGTACGCTGTTATCTACTATTATTAATGTCAGTAACCATTATATATTTTATATAAAATTACTTGATAACTGCCATCTAGTGGCAACGTATTAGAATCTTCCATCGTCTGGCTTCGGGCAATATCGGGACTCATCTGTGAATAAAACTTGACTCCATGCTTCATCATTCCAATTTTCGTGTATGCGAGCAAAAATAATTCGAATACTTGATGTTATGTGGCAAGAAGACGGCCTCTGGTAAGTGTGAATTTATTCCGGCCAATTTCAATCTTTTTCGCACACTTTTTGTGCTTACTGTAAATATTTGAAAACTTCCTGTTTTCAATAGCAATTACTAATGTTTATTTGATTAACTTAAGTTATCAATTTTTCGTTTTTCTTTTCGAGAAATCTTTAAGTTTTTGGATGTAATATAGACTTGATCACTCTTGGCATTGTCCTCTATCTAATCGTGAAGTTTTATTACAACCGGTTCAGCTATCCCAAACATTAGCCCGGATCGATAGACATATAGACAGACAGATAAAAATCAATTAGTTCGTTATTACAGGCAGACAATTCATTCTTATTTACATTTACAGATTCAATGTATTTCATTAATTCATTACAGTCTATCGAAGTCCACTGCTGAATCACTTATTATTCTCATAACATAAACACTCACGCCTGTTACCCAAAGGGATAGGCAGAGACTATGGACTTCCATTTGGCACGATACTGACACACCTCTCTCGCTTCCTGCACATCCATATACCTACGCATACACGCTCGTCGGTTAAAGGTACTCTTGATTTGGCCCATTTTCAATATATCGCCAATTTGGTCGATAAACTTTCGCCTAGGGTGTCTCTTCCCGACTCTGCCGTTCACTTTATATTATTCTCATCGCTACATATTATTCTAAAACAAATACTGTTAACAATGAAGGTTAAGATTTCATTTGATGTATCTATAAAACAATTATCTATTATATTTATAAAATAATAGGCCGACTAATCGGCACTTTTTACCGACTAATTGACGACTACAAATATGGCTATATATTTTGCTTTTCGGACTAGTCTGTACAACTCTAATAATCACGGTAAAATAATAAGGATATGAATATACAACTAGCTCATGCTATTTATTAATAATATTATAAACATCAAATTGGGATTTACATAAAATAACTTAAGTCGATTCAGCGTTTCGATTCAGTAACATAAAGCGATATTGGAAAAAATCGTTAATATAAATTTCTTTATTCGTTCCTGTCCCTTGAAGGCAATATAGCCGATATACGGGTCTGTGCTTTCAGGACGATAAATTTGTTTATCACATTTCTTCTTATACTCGTATTTTATAATATATATGTCAGTTTGTTAGCTGTTTAATTATTCTGTAAACCGGAGCCTAAACTTACAAATATAGAAAAAAAGGTATTTAAGTAGATATAACTGTGGTTATAATTTAATGATTTCTTATATTTACATGATTACTTGACATTGAATGATACCAATTGGCAATAAACATAGGTGATGTAAAGAACGAAACGTTGGGAAATAAAAACAAGTTAAATTAAATGCGATCAATCACTAAAATTACTTCTGTTATGACAAACGTATGAAAATTCAGGGTCTGATTAGATTTGTCTCAAAAGTCAAGCTTGTCAACGACGTTCTTGACGCTGCTACCCATCTGGTTGGAAATAGTGGTAAAACACCCAGTATTTTAAGCGTTGAATAGGCAAAATGGTTATACTACCATGTTTAGGAAGCCCTTAGGTCCTTCTCGCATTTTCTTTAGTCATCTCTATCGACATAAATAAGACCGACATAATGAACTTATTTTTACGGCTACCATACGGTACGTATTCAATACTACACACAAACGATAAATGGTGATACTTTTTTGAGTCCACCTGATAGTAAGTGGTTGCTGTGGCTCATAGAGATCTAAATCTATCCTTGATTACGTATCAAATTGCAGATGGGTTGTCACCCCTGAGGACTAAGATGGAATGCCTCGTTTCCAGTCAAAAGGGTCTCCGGTTCTCTACACACACCATACGAAACATAGCAGCGTTAAGCTGCTATTTTACGCTGGTATTCTG